TGTCTGCCTCGGTGATTTGATGACTATTTGCAGCATTATGCTTTTATTCCTTTCTTTTTTTTTGTATGTCTGCTGCAATTTCTTTCTTTGTGATTACTGTGGTTCATATAGAATATCTTATTATCATAACATCTTACTTTAAGCTGATAACAAATTAAGTTAAATAGAAAAACTATACTTCCTCTCACACATTTTTGGTTATTGATATTACAAATTATGTATTTTATATTGTGTATCCATTTAAAACTATTACAGTTACAGTTATAGTTATTACAGTTATAGTTATTGTTTACTTTTTAATTTTTATGGAAGAGGGTAAAAAGTGTTTTATATACCACTATTACAATATTAGGGTATTCTGAATTTGACTTTATCAGTGAGTTTTATTCATTTATATATTTTTACCTTGTGATTTTGTACCTTTTTATTTCTGTTTGAAGAACTTCTTTTGCAATTTCTTGTAATATAGGTCTAATAATGAACTTTGTTAGCTTTTATTTGTTTGACAGTGCCTTTATTTCTTCCTCCTTTTAGACAGGTAGCTTTGCCAGGTATGGTATTCTCGTTTCACAGTTTCCACCCCCCCCCAATATTTTGAACATATCTTCTCACTATCTCTTTGTCTACAAAGTTTCTTCTGAGAAATCCAATAGCCTTATGGGGCTCCCTTGTATTTGAGAGTGTTTTCTCTTGTTGCTTTCAAAATTTTATTGTTTTGCTTGATTTTTGATAGTTTGATTATAATGTGTCATGGCGATGTTTTCTTTGGATTATGTTTGGGGACATTTGGATATCCATGTTTCTTCTTAGATTTGGGATGTTTTCAGCTTTTTTTTTAAAGTAAATTTTCTGCCCATTTTTCTCCCTCTTATTTTTCAGGGTCTTAAGTAATGAATGTTTTGTCATTTGTTGGTACCCCTACATTCTTCAGTCTTTCTTAACTCTTTTTCATTCATCTTTATTTTTGCTCCTTTGACTGAATAATTTCAAATGACCCGTCTTTCAGTTCATTGAGTCTTTCTTTTACTTGCTGAGTCTGTTGTTGAAGCTCTCAGTTGATTTATTTTTCGGTGTAGTCATTATGTTTTTTAGCTCTATGATTTGTTTTTTGTTTGTTTGTTTGTTTTTATGATTTAGTTTTACTCTATGATTTGTTTCTTTGTTAAACTTTTCCTTTTGTTCATGTGTTTTCTTAATTTTATTTAGTTGTCTGTGTTTTCTTGTATTTTATTGAACTTCTGTAAGATGATTATTTAGAATTCTTTGTCAGCTCATAGATCTCCATTTTTTAGGATTTGTTAATAGATTTTTATTTACCTTTGGTGGTGTCATGTTTCCCTAATTTGTCATTGTCTTTGTGTGCTTGCATTGATGTCTGTGCATTTGTAGAAGTGGTCACCTCTTCTAGTCATTTTTGTTTGTTTTGGAAGGGAAAGACTTTTATTAGTCAGCCCAGCTTGTGGTTTTGAGTTGGCCACTTGGTACTGTCTGTGGGGAGGTGGGGCTTGCTGCTGGGGTCTTCAGTGGATAGGGCTGCTGCCTATTGTCTGAGTTCAGATAGGGTCACTGATGGGGCTCACAATCAGGCAGGACCACTTTCTGGGCTTCGTTACGTAGGCTATACCTAGCTGGGCTCTGTAATTGTCTCTGGTCAGTTGTGACTACAGGCTGTACTCCCTGATCAGTTGGTGCCTCTGACTGAGTTGCTGGGCTCCGTGATTGGGTGAGACTGAGGCTGTTCTGTGCATTTGGGTGGGGTCACAAGCTTGGCTTTGTGATCATGGATTGGGGCTTGTAGACTTTGCCACTTATTTGTGTGGGGTAAATGGCTGGATTCTCCATCCAGCCAGGGCTGCTGATCAGGAGTGATCACTGGATTCTCAGGCTGGGCAGGACCACAAGCATTGCCTTGCAGTTAAGCGTGGCTTTTGTTTGCATTCTGTAATTGATTAGGGTCACTGACTATGTTTTGTGGTAGGCTGATCTGTTTATTGGAGTCTCCAGCTGTGTGAACTGATAATTGTGTCCCTGGCCTTACATGGCCACCATTTTGGCTCTGTGGTTAGGTGGAGCTGCTGGCTGGGTTCTCTGGTTGGAACATGGTGCCACCTCCAAGGTCCATTCACTGGTTTTTCTGTGTCCTGTTCCCCTTCTTTGTTACTAGGCGACTTCAGGTGGCATACCTCTGCCATTTCCCCCTATGTCTCCTATGAGACAAGACAGAGGTGGGCCTCTTGAGGTTTGCCCCCAAACACTGGAGAAGCTAGATATCCATCTTGGGCTTTGTTGTTGTTTTTTTTAACCTCTAGGAGAAACCATATTCTCAGAGAATCCCTCTTACTGGGATTCTCTGCTGGCCTGGGGGAGAGGTGATGCAGTTAGAGTGAAACCACTGTCTTACCCATCAAATGCAACTTTTCCCAATTTTTTATGCTCCAGGGTTGTTGTTGTTGGTTTTTTTTTTTTTTTTTGGCCTCACTGTGCCTCTGGGTTCTGGTATTTTCATAGAGGTGTTCTTGTTAATGGATAGTTGCTAACCCTTATTTTTGTGAAGGGGTTTAGAGTTGGTTCTCTTTCATTTCTCCATATTCTGATTTCATTCCTCAAATATCTCTTTATGTCCATCTCTTTTTTCTTCTGAGATTTCCATAATGCATGATCCCCTTGATGGTGTCCTGCAGGTCCCTTAAGCACTTTTCACTTTTTAAAATTCCTCTTTCTTTCTGATTTTTTTGGTTGTATACTTTCATTTATCCTTTTTTTAAAGTAAGTTGACTCTTTTTCCTACCCCAATCTGCTGTTGATGCCTTTTAGTGAAATTTTTGTTTTTGTTATTGATTTGTCATCCACCAAATTTATATTTGATTCTCTTTCCATTGACATCAATTTTCCTTCTGAATGACCCATGTCTTCCCCTGTTTTTGTATATCTTGTGATTTTTTGTTGTTGTTGCTTACTGGGCATTTGAATATTGTAATGTCGTAATCCTGGAAATCTGATTCCACCCCTTTCTACAGTTTTGCTGTTTTTATTTTTTATTTTTATTTTTAGGAAGGCTGTAGTTGTTTGTTTAGTGTAACAGACTGTTTTTGCAAAGATTGTATTCTCTGTCATGGGTGCTCACTGAAGTCTCTTCTTTTAGCTTGTGTTCAGGTAGTGTTTTGTTTTGTTTTGTTTCTTTTTTTTTTTCTTTTTTTTCCAGGAAATCCTTTGAATGCCAAGAGCTAAAAATAAAAAATCAATCAATCAAAAAGCCACCTTCTCCAGTATTTGCACATTTCCTCACTCAACACAAAAGATTAGTTAGACATTAAAGATTAGGATATTCTCATAGCTTTCATGTGCATGTTTGACCCTAGATATGTTCATGGGTTTCTAAATGCCCTTGTATACACAGTTACTTTTGAATGTCTCAGTTATCTCCTATCTCAGCGTTCTTGCCCTGTTCCCCATCTATAGCAGTTAGCTGCTCCTGCTTGGGGAGACTTCACATACTTTACGATTCATCTCTCTCAGTTCTCTTGCTCGTCCCCCAGCCTTTGGTGTACTGACCATATATACTTGGTGAATACCTGTGGGAATCAGTTGATGGGTGGGTGGACTATCTGTTATGAGGTATTCCTTTCATTTTAGTTTATCACTCCAGCCACATGCAGTAATTCAGAGTTTGGCTGATTTTTCCTTACCCTGCTAAGACAGATTCTTTATCTTCCTCCATCTTTGCCAAGCATCTGAGCACATTAATGAGTCTCTTTAGTCTCATGAAAGTCCTGTCACTTTCTGCAACTTAGGTTTCATTTCACCCTTAATTTTTTTTACCTAAAAAAAACCCAATAAAACCCTGTGATTTTGTAGTTAATCTGGCTTATTTTGGCTAGTGTGAGAATAATTGTTATCTCCTGTAAACTTCTCTTAATACCAGAAGGTATTTTTTTTTAATACTTCTGTGATATTGCTTTCAAAAAAGAGAATATATCTTCATCAACCTTAAATTTCTTATAACATTAACTGTAATGATAGGTAACATTTATTAATAACTCACTAAGTGCCAGGCACCATGGTGAATACTTTAAATGCATTATTTCATTTAATACTCACAAACTTGAGAATAAGAATTTTAAATGATCTCCATTTTCCAGATGAAAGATTAAGTAAGAAGGTCAGTATTACACAACTAGTTAGTGGCACTTTTGAACTCAGGGTTATTGGTCTCTGGAGCAAACTGAGTTTTTAAATTCACATCCCTAGATGGGGTAGGTATGTAAGATAAATGAATGCAGTGAATAGGGTATAAAATATAACAAAGAAAGCAGTATGATGGATGAAAGTTAAGATTTAGTCTAGTTACTGGCAAAAAAAAAAAAAAAAGAATAATCAGTTGTGTGGAGAACACATACTTTCTTTAAAGGGATCAGTCACTTCTTAGCTCCAGCCAGTTATTGCCCATGTGAGAATATGGGTCCAGTATTTCAGATTTCCTGATTTTTCAATAGAAGCCATATGAAACCACTCAGTTTCTAAATGTTAGCTGGTGGTTCAAATAAAAATAAAATTCAGTATGCAGACCTACATGGTGAGTCTAAAATAAAACATATCTGCAAGCTCAGCCTGTTTTCTGGGCAGCCAGTTTGCAATCCTTGCAATAGAGCCTGAATTCTGTTAAACCAGTTGGTTATGCTGTCTCTTAGTGCCCACCTTATGCCTTCCTTTCGCCTATGTGCTATAAATGATGGAAGTGAAAACCGTCTCTTGAATGCATGTATTTTATTTATTGCTGTTATGCAGTTGTGTTGGTTCAGATATAAGCTACAAAGATAATTCTTAGAAACTTTTTTAAAAATCTTGAATTCTTCATTTTATCTGTCTTAAACAAGAGTTCTACTATGAAGCACATCTTACATTAAGTCAATGTGAGGTTCCAAGCATTACTGAATAGTTTATTCTTGTTCATTAATTATGACTTCATCTCTCTTTCTTCTACCCTTTCTTCTTTGATACAGCTTTCACTTTCAGAAGAGCAGAATGACGTAACGAAAAATGGCTGTGAATCTAAAGAGCTGGTCTACCTCGTGCACATTGCTTGTCAGGTAACTTTGTGGCTCTGTTCTCCATTTCACATAAAATTTAATTATTTTGAGTGATTATTAAATTCCTTTCTATAATGCATTTCTCATATTGCCTGATAGAATCCACAGAAGGATACTTGTACAATATTGTAATGGAATTTGACAACGAATGACTATTGTTAAGCAAGGGAAATGAATGTGTTCATATAGTACTGTGGAATACATAGTTTAGTTTAGTACTGCAATTTGCATATCTTCTCTCTGCATTTTAAGAAAGTTTTTAAGGCTTTAGACATTTATGAATGACAAACAGTAGTGAATATGGTAACACAGATGTTTTATTCTTCCTCACAGTCATTTTGGTATTTTTGCATGTACTCAGAGTTGAAACATAATCAGTTTTATAGATATTTAATTTACAAACTTAAATGAAAATTTTTCTTGTAAAAGTAAAGGAAATATATTATTTATTGATGATAAGATTATAAGAACACACATAATTAAAAGAGCAGACCAAGTTGTTTCTGCCGCAGATGCTCACCTTTCTGACCAAGACTATAAGTTCCGCTGTGATATAACAATAGGAAATATGAATGCTGTAGAAGTGTGCTATTTCTTGATGCTTAGTAGAACTTTTTTGAAGGTAATTACTATGACTTGCTCATAATGAAACTTAAAGTATGTCATTTGTAGCGTTGATTATTTCTTCCATCAAATAAGCAAGTAGTAGTTTATTGATTCACTGTTTACTGACCCTTCTATTTTTGAATTAGCCATTGTAATGCAAGTGTTTTCAAGGAAAACTTTCTTATATACAAAGTTTTTAGTTTTGAGGGGAGAGAGTAAGATAGGGGCATTTATGGTTTTTTTCCCCCAAAAATATTATTAATATTCCTAAAGTTAAAAATTAAATAATCTGGAAAAGTCTAATGCTTATCTCATATGAGAGATACTTAGTCTTGGTGACCATAAGGAAAATCTTTTAGAATTAAATAATTTTATTTATAGGTGTCAGAATATGATATTGGAAATTGAATTTAGCTTGTATGTAAGATATTGGAAATTGAAATTAGCTTGTATGTAAATAAGATGTCCAAAGTTATATATTGTTTATTTGTGTTTTATTGTATGCCATCTTGGTTCCTTTGAGCAAGTAGGCAACTCTGAATCACTGAGTTTCATGTCATATTTCATAAAATTCTTCCATTTGGTAAGTTAAATTTTAAGTGAAAATATCAAGAGCTTTTATAATGAGCCTTTACTAATAGATGAATAAAAAAAAATCTTCTTTATCTAGATTACATGGTTGACATGTTGTAATGAATTTATTCATCTCTCTATAGCTTAACACCCTTTAGCACCTTTTCTTCTCACTGTTCATTTCCTTATGTTTTGACAATGCAACTATTTTTATTCTCATAAGCAAAACAATGTCTCAAATGTCCGTGCTGTTTTTTAAAAATTACCTTCAAAAGTTAACCATGGTATTTTGGTACCATGCATTAGAATGTATAATTATTTGATTATACTTCCATGATTATACTTCCGTGACCTAGATAGTTAGGCTGTTTCTGGGTTGTAAATATCTTGTCAAGCTGCTTAGAAAATTTCAGACTACTTGATATACTATTTATTACATCAAAGTAGTAATTTGCCACATTGTATTAATGCCAGCGCACTTCTTCTCTGCCTCACCGTAAGTAGTCATTGATGTGTTCCAATGGATTATTTCCGTATTCTTGCCACATATGTCAGCCATAAACCATATTACATGAGAATCATATTTTTTATAACTAAGAAAGATTCATAGTCAAGCCCTTTAATTTTGCTAATGAGGAGATTGAGGCCCAAATTACTGAAATAGCTTTCCTAAACTGTATGAAATCTTAGCAGGAGCTGCTAAGGACTTAAGTTTTGTGATTGCTAGCTTTTCCTACATCTCCTTGGAATTCGCAGTCTACAACAGATTTGGGAGATTGCTTAGTCTTCAGATAAGATCACTATTACACACTGATGTAATCTGTCCATTCTAGAAGCTGTTAATTCACATATTTCATATTTTTGCTAATTTCTAATTTTAAATAATGTTCTCTTGAAATTCTTTATTCATTTAGCCAAAATTCTTGGTCCTTCATTTTAACCCACTCTCTTCCCTTGTTCTTTATCTTAGAAAATGGCTAGTTTTGATTTTTTTTCCTTTCTGTAGGTTAAGCGATAATAATTCCTTTAGTATTATCTTTGAACCTTTTAATTGTGTCTTTGCCTTTGCTCTTTGAAGTTTTAATTTCTTTTTAAATTGTGAACATAGAAATGTAAACCTTGTCTTTCATAGTGAATGGATCCAAATTCAGTAGGCATTTTTGGATCACCTATTTATATAACACAGATATTATGACATGCAGTATATCATTTCATTACAACCATTCTGTGAGGTGAATAGTCTGGCTTTTATTTTACAGAAGATGAATCTGAGATTCAAGATTATGTTAATTAAAGAGAAATACTGGAATTTGGACCCTAGTCTAGTGTTTTTTTATTTCTATTCATCCATGATTTTATGATATGATTTATAGTTTGTTGGCTACTCTAAAATCTGTAAGCATATCCCAAATGTTAATAAAGAACTAGAGAAAGGCATTGAAACTGACAATCTAGTTTCTTTGCATAACTTCAGTAGATGTGGCCTATGTAGCATTCATATATATCTAAAGCTATATATAGAGAGAACTTTAAGTGAAAGTCTCAAATCAGGAGCCTATGAGTGAGAATCCAGGCCAACTGCCCAGGCCAAGAGACTATATTGTCTGAGTGATAGTAAGAATATTTAACAGTTGGCATAGGATGGGCCTAATGCAGTTGGAACAGATACTGAGATGCACATCTCAGCCATATTGGTGTGTCTCAGTTGAATATTACCCATGGATAAAACAACTGTCTTGGATGCCTTGAAGAATAGATTTTTTAATGCCCCACCTGAGCCCTCAACTCCCTCCTTCTCATACTAATTATTATTTAGGATAAGTTGTCTTAACCAATACAGACATGTTGTGCCTCAGATGTTCTCTCCATTATCTTTTTATTCTATTCTTCAAGTAAACAAACTGGGGGGAGAAGGTATTATGTAGAAAAAAATGATCAGCTAGTGTGGATGAAGAAGTACTCTTTCCAATTTGTGTTAACGATATTTATCTGAGTGTGAATACTTTTTTTTTTCTGAAAAATCTTACTAATTTTTCCTCTGCATATCTTTTACTATTCAGGAAACATGTATTTAGTTTGAGATCAATGAAAATAAATAACAATCCTAGGAAATTGAAGTATTTGTCAAGGTAGATATAGGAAAAACCGACTGTCTCAAATGTTGAAAATTCAATAATTTTAAAAAGACCAAAATTAGATAAACCTTGACTAATTATATTGAGTCCCACTACATAGAATAAAGCATTTATAAGTGTAATGTCAATGGTAGTGAGTCTTAAAAGCATTCTGTATTCTGTTGTTTTATTCTTTAGCAAATAAGCAAACATCAGCTTTAAGTGTTAATTTTAAAATGACAAATTTAAATCTAACTATTGCAAGTTTATTCTAACATGTATCATAATGAAAATTCTATTATGATTTTTTTCCTTCTGTAAGGATAGTTTTCTTAATATAAGGATAATTGTTGCTTAATAAAATACTTAGTATTTTATTGTCCTATAGTAAGCTTTAGAGTAGTTGAAGTTACTATTTCTTGCTGAGGTTGGAGTGTATTAACTACCTTTGTATTTTAACCAGAACTCATCAGCATCATAGTTGATTTTTTCTGAAAATCAAGTTTTTAAAAATATTTTCAGTAATATGAAGGCTGCATTATGTCCCAGTTGGTAAGGTAAACAGTTGGTTTTAGGGGAATGCTTTCCTACCTCAAAATATCCCCTGTACGCTGATGCTTGAAATTCCACCACCAGAAATGCATTCCTCTGTATTAAATATCTCCCCCACTCAGTCTGTTTAGAGAATGCTGTTAATAAAGGGGTGGGGTTGCATACTAACATTTGTAGAGCATCTGTTTATGAACAAAACATATAGGCAGATGGCAAACATCCTTATTTAACCTCATAACTCGTCTGTGAAATGCAAGTGTTGCTGTTCCCATGTCACAGGTGAGTAAACTACTGCGCATAGGTGTTAAGTAACTTGTAAAAGTCCAGTAACTGGGATAAGGCGAGACTTGAGATTTAAATCAAGTCTCTCTCATTACTGCCCTTCACCATACAGTTAAAGAAATGATTCATAGCATTAATTCTTTTAAATATAACTTTCCCAGGATAAAGAAACTTCCGAGAACATGGGTGAAGACTGTTCTTCCCAGAATGTGTCTGTTTACATCTCTATTATTACCAAGCTAGCACAAGCCACTATCTCGTTGAGCCATTGTCATAGCATCTGTGTTTACACTCTGTAATCAAATATAATTCTCTAAACTGCCAAAATGATGTAAACTATAAATGGAAACATGTTACTCTCATGGTTAAAACTCTACAATAGATTTCCACTGTATTTAAAACTAAACCCAACTACAACTTTACCAAAGGCCCGTGAGGACCCTACACTATCAGGACTTGCCTACCTCTTCTGCATCATGTCATCACTGTCTTCTCTCTCCTGTGCTCTAGCTCAGTTAGTTCCTAAAAGACCTGAAATTCTTTTCTGCAACAAAGCATTGAACTTTGACCAGCCCATAACTATTCACACTGAGCACTTGGTGTCTCATGTCGTCTCAGTTTTCAGGATGCAGTTTAGATATCACATTCTCAAATGGGCTTTTCTTGACCTCTCTAAATGAAGTAGATTCTTGCTTATTTCTTAGTGCCAAACTGTCATTATCTTATTTCTGTATTTATTTACTTTAAAAAGTGTTTTCTCACTAGAAGTCAGAGGTTTGATGGTCATTTGTTGTATCTCTAATGCCTCCTCCAGTCCTCAGTACTATTTAGGTGCTCAGTAGTTATTTGGTGAATGAATGAGAGGAAGAACAA